TAAAATAAAATTAAAAAGTCAGTGCCTCAGTCACAGTAGACACATTTCAAGTGCTCAATAACCACATGTATGTCTACTGGACAGTGCTGGCATAGAACATTGCTATCACTACAGAAAGTTCTTTTGGTCAGTGCTGGCTTCAACCTTTGCCCAGACCACAAATTGCAGCTTCTTGTCTCATAGAGCAGAGTGTAGATGTTTGTGCCTTAGGGCTGTGTTCATCTTTGGGAAATGAAGGATGGATTAAATCCCATTTGGACAAAGCAGTGCAAGAAACCCTTCAGGCATAAAATGTTTGCATTGAACAATAATTCAAGAGGTGGGGAGGAGGGCAGATTAGGGGAAGGAATTAAGAAACACCTAAACCATTCTGTGGCTTGAGTCTTGACTAGATCTGAACCTGTGTAGGACACAGGACCCCCAGAGGGAAGTTCCATAGAGAGACTGTCACCCAGTGCTCAACTGATCCCAACGATGGAAAAGTATGAGAGGAGCAGGGCTGCCCTAATATCAGGAATTGAGGGACACTCTCAGCACTCAGTGGTGGGAAAAAGGTTAGTCATGTTTGGCCCATGTTATAGGGAGAAAGTTGTTACCCAGCCAATCAGTGGCAGAATGGGGAATAATTCAGGCTTTCTTACAAAAGGAGAGGGGTAACCAGTCTATCTGACAGTGACTCCTTAGGTATAGGTCTGCACAGTCACAGCCAGCTTATGTTTTGAAACTTAGGCTTGAGTTTCAGAAGGAAAGTATCAGTGATACAAGGAAAAGGCTTGGTTCTGTCTTCCCTGCCGGCCCTGTGGCTAAGGGGCCATGCTTGCGGGGAAGGGAAGAAATCAGAGGCAGGTGGCAAAAAGTGTAATTTTACCTGCTGTCTGGAAGCCATCTGTGAAGGGAATCACCTTTCTTTTCTGGACTTATTTCCAGGTGCAGCTGCAGGTGATGACACTGAAGATGCAAGCACTGAGTTCACTGACAGTATCGAGGAGGAGGCTGCACACAACAGCCACCAGCAAGTAAGTCAGTGTCAGGTTCTGGAGTTCCCAGGGTGGAAGGCACACAGCCCTTCTGGGGTCTGATGGTCTCCTACAGCCCTTGTGGACCTGGAGTGAGAAGGTATCTTTTTATATCAACCACTTCCCAGTCTTCTTCACGTCCTCCCTGAGCTTCCCAGCTGCCTCTTGAACCCATATCCTTATTTTGTTTTCCTCTCTAATCCATCCCTTGGTTTTTATTACTTCTATTTCTTTCTTCTGCTTACTGGCCCCTCTTACCCACCTTTGCCCCTATTTACTCTCTGTAGCTATAGCTTCAGAAGAATTTTTACTTACAAGACAATGGACACTTTCCCCTTGGGCTTTTGTAACTGAAACACACTACAGAAGACAAGGAGTCATCAAAGGGCCATGTGGGGAGGTGGCAGGGCCTAGGACCTGCTTGGGGAGAATGCTCTCTGAGAAACTCCAAGAGAATTGGAACACTTCCAAAGCAGGGATCTTTCTCAGTGAAATCTCATTGTGCAAAGAGAGCTTTGTGATGCAACCTGACAAACCACCCAGGTCGTGATGACTTAATGATCAGCCGATGGCACTTCAACAGCAAGCCCCAGTCAAACCTCAGAACTTGGTACCCAAGGCTGAAACACTGTTCCCACCCACCATCAGTGAAGTTGTAAGCAGCATGTTCACAAGCCCAAGAGTGAATGTCCTGGACCTCGGAGATGAAGTCACTAGTAGTGATCCCACAGCACTCACTGGAACACCTGTGTGTCTCCGCTTTCCCAGTGACATTCAGCAATCTCATCTCCTAAATGGACTATGCCTGTGACTCTCTAAGTTGTTAAGGAGAAAGTGGATCATGGGTAGATATCCTTCTTCAAACGCAGCTGGGCTTTCCAGTGATAGATTCCTTGGGGTATTAGCAAGACTGTAGGGGAAATGAGACTTGCTGAGTCTTCCTGTGCATCTTCTGCATGAGAACAAGAGGAGACATCTAATAACCCAACAAGGAGAGCCCAAATGAACCGTCTCCAAATCTTTCAGGATTTGGCGTGATCTTTGGCTCTTGAGGACATGAATACTTGTCTGGGATACCTCACATCCTCAACAGTTTCTTTACCTTCTACCAAGATCCCCTTTTCGTTGTTATAGCCATAGCTGACCTTCCCTTCTCCCTTGAGTCCTTGCATGAGCTCCATTTCTCCTTTTACTTGAACAGTGTCTCTTGAGTCATCCTCACCAATGGTTGTGACTTTAATTATGTACACCACTGCCCCTCACTCCCTGATTTGGTTGAGGATCTTTGGTAAGAGAGAGGGACCTGCAGGATAAACCTCAATCTAGCTCTGTCCACTCTAAGACAGAGCTAGATTGGAATGTTGGCTGGTCACTGGTGGTTATAATGACTGTGCACCAGGATTAACTTCAGAATAAATGAACAGGAGACACAGATGTGAAGAAAGTCAGATTCTGATTGACATGGTCCAAACTATCCTTAGTAATACAGGTCCTTCACTTTAATTCTCAGTTGTAGGCAAACTGCTTTGTAAAGTCACTTCTTCCTCAGCCTTCTTTCTTGTAGCCTCACATGGAGAATATGACCAGACCCCATTTTGAGAAGGTCAGTCCAAACCAGAACGAACTTTTATGTTGGGGCATTTGTATTTCCCTTGCAATGCTTGCCATATTACTTGGCATAGGAGATATGTAGTATAACTATAAACTACCAAACCTTTGGATCAGGGCTTGACTCATGATAGATAAAGTGTATGGATGAAGAATCCAAACACTGTTGGATGAAGAATCTCTTGGGTAAGAACTATTTTTCTTTCTATCACCTTTACTTGAAAATCAGTTATTCAGCTTTGGGCAGAAGAAATCTTGGTATGTAAAATCATTGTAAATTTACATCATCTTTTCTGGAGTTTGAGGTTGTGATTCTCCTGCTACTGATTAAATAAAGCTTGCTTTTCCATAACTGTTTTGTGTCCAGATTCTCAAAATTTGTTTGCTTATTTCTAGATTAGGCTCTGAGCTTTTCCTTGGTTGGCCCTTGGAACGTAAACTATTCTTGACCCCAGGATCCCTTCCTACTGCAGGCATTCACACACTTTCTCTAACAAACACATTCAACTTTGTCTTCCTTCCAAGGCAAGAATCACCTTTTGGCCAAAGCAAGTTGCTTCTTCCTTATTTTTTAGATTAACCCACCCCAGGAAGCTTCAATTCTGGCCATGATGGTAATTTTCCCTAAATATCACCCACAAAATTCCATTCTGAAGCAGATATAAGATCTATAATAGATACCTAGGAAATTGCCATGAAAGAAACTGGAGTAGTCAACCATTGCTTTTCTTCATTTGAGCTTCTGCAATGGAGAAAGGTTAATCAAGAATCAAGATTCAAATATAAAGGAGAGAAGTCAGCAGATGAAGTGTGATGAACTTGAGAAAAGCTATTTAAAAAAATGTTTTATTTATGTTATTTTTATTGACAAATCATAATTGTATACATTTATGGGGTACAATGTGATGATTTGATATATATATATACATAGACATACACACATGCTTGCCTACCTATCATGTTTTATGGTGAGATATTTGAAATTTATTCAGTTATTTT